AGGGCTATAAAGCCATACACAGTTACGGACTACATTCAGAACCTTCCTGGCTTAGGAAGGACTGTAAAACCATACACGAACAAATACTCATACACTAAATAATGCAGAATTGAGAAAGTTGCTTTGTAAGTAAAAGTATAATTAGTTATAGTTATAGATTTTTGTTTTTAAAAAGTAATTTACAGTTGTTATTAGTTCGATTCAATAAAAATACATAATCTCAAGAGTATTAGGCTAAAATTTTATTTAAAAAAAATTAAAAATTAATAAAGTTATGATTTTTTAAGTAAAACAAACTTATTTTTCCGAAGTTAACACGTTTACAAATTTTTTTGTTAAATGTTAAGATTAATACTCAATTATGATTATAGGCTCGTAATTGTAATAACAAAATACAAAAAGCATGTATTCAATAATATTCGAACAAGTTTCGACTTTATTGAATACATTCGAATATTATTGAATATATGTTTTTAACATGACTTTTGCATGATTTAATTTGATTTATTGACCATCCTTTTATGCTCGGTTTTGACCTATTATTTTTTATTATATTTTGTTAAGATTAAATTTTTCACTAAAACGCTATTGTTCTATTTTCTTAAAAGGTTCACGAAAAGAACAATTTTGCTGAATCTAGATCTGAAAATAATTTTTGTTGAATAATCAAAATAATTTTGTGCAAAAGTTAAAATGATTGCTAAAATATCGAAACGCTTTATAGCAATGCTTATCAGTTTTAACATTCCAACAAATTATTATGATGATTCAACAAAAAATTATTCTCAGATTTGTTTTTAGCAAAATTTTTAGACCTTTCAACAAATCCTTCTTTCTGTGTTGAGATTATATACTGTAATTTTTTAAAGTTAATGGAACTAATACTGTTGATTTGATAACACTTTAAAAAAACGGCTCGGATCATTTTGTCCCAGTATGACCATCGTGTAACTATTTATTATGAAGTGCGACCATGAAGGGTTAAATATTAAATTCTTAATCAATTGCCTCTCTGGCTGCACCCCTTTTGCCAGCAGCAGATATCGTAAAATGTCGCGCTTTAAACGCGGCAGTGAACTTTACAAGAATGTATACACTTCATCGTAGCAGCAACAGCCGCTGCCGCTGCCGCTGCTGTTGCTGCCGTTGCTGCTGCTGCTGCCGCTGCCGTTGCTGCTAAACTGATTACTGCTGAGAGTCGCGCGTTCTTTCTCGTGCGACGACCCGGTAAGCGCGGCAGTTTCGGATTTCACTCGTACAAAATAATGCGTCAGCCCCGAGGCGAGCTAATAAACGGCGCGGAACAAGGCAAGTAGCGACTTATGAGCGAGACAAACAAGTCCGGCAATAACGGCGATCCAATAACCGGCGTCTAACGGCGCACGGTTTCTCCTTTCTTTTTCCTCCCTTTCTCACATTTTTTCCCCCCATCTCGCCCCCGCTCCCGCCGCGCCGGACGCACCCATTAAACGCACGCACCCTGCAGAGATTGCGCCCATCTCTCGCACCGACGTCCGTTTTTCCAGCGTTAATTTTATAACTGACCAGCCTCTGCGGTCCATTCTTTTCCTGCGGCTTGGAAAGAAAGGCTTCCCTTCTTCTTTCTGCCCCCCCCCCTCCTCTCTCTCTCTCTCTCTCTCTCTTCCTCGCTAAAATTACAATCTGCGTGCGTCGTGCGGATTGTTCGTCGCAAGACTGTGTGCATGTTATATACAGTCCTGTGTTTTGCATAAACTTTTCTTTTTTTTTTTCTGAAATTCGCCGGTTTTATTCGCGCGCGAGTAAGGAAACACTCCGCTATTCATAAAGAGACGACAGCACTTTGAGTGAACAACTTGTATCCCCGGGGTCTTATTAGAAGTTAATGCTCTTCATCACGATAGCGAAACAATTATGTGCATAATAAGGAACTGCTGCAGTCTCATTGTCGCAGCGCTTTTGCGACTACTATGTTTCATTATGCTTTCGCGCCGGCGTTTCCAGGAAGAAAGATAACAGCATATAAAATTTAAATAAAATACCTGCTGATTATTTTCTTTTTTTTTCACTTTAATACATAATAATTTCTATACAAAAGACGAATCTCAAGGTGAAAGAGATTCTATAAGAATGCGTCATTATAGTATTCGCGAAGAAAGACGAAGTATTTGACGCAAACTTCCCACGTTCTCATATCCATTTTAAACTTTCCGAGCATATATATATATATGTATATGTGTGTGTGTGTGTGTGTACATATCTATCTATCTTTACGTCGGTGAGAAAATTGACGAACATCCCGAATGTATAACGTCGAATTTAATAATCACAAAAGTTACGCCGCGTCTTCATCTTCCAGAGAGTGTTTCCCGAGACAATGTCACGTTATAATGCGCGACAACGCGCGTGTTGTTCAGTTGACTTCGCCTTCATAGAAACACGACGATCATTCATTCTGTCGCGCGAAATACGCGTGACAATAGCGCGGTATAACTTAATCTTCAATTCTCTGCCGTTATAAGGTGTAAGCTCTCCATTACTCAGGTGTCGGCATTCAGTCGGGGAGTTCATTTTCCCCCCGGTGAGAAGGGCCCGATACATTAAAGTATCGCGCGCGCAAAAGCGCGTTGGGTTTCATTCGTTGGAAAGGAGAGAGAGAGAGAGAGAGAGAGAGAGAGAGAGAGAGAGGGATCGGTTTCTTTGGCAATCTTAAAAATTGCAGCAAACGCAATAACGTATAGCTACACTGTGAAATTGATCGAAAAATTGAGATTTATTCATACCTATGTACGCGCGATCGCAATCTCCCGTCGCGCGTCGGCCGAGCTCCGAATTCCGGAGCTCGATCGTGCGCGACCAATCGAAATTTCTCATTCTTTGCTTCTCGAAATTCGCGTGACCTTTCAATCGAATCTCATTAATGTATTCTTTATTCTCTGGAGAGATTTATGCGACATTTCTAAAACAACTGTACGAACAAATTTCCATTTGTAATCTTTTTACAGGTAAAAATAAATGACGTCAATGGCGCGCGCCCTATTTCCTGATTTTTTTGAATTTTCGCAATTTCTAACAGAAAGAGGCGATAAAAAATGTAATATAACATGTTTTGCAAAAAATATAAAAATATGCACAGAGGGGATAGATTAAGATGGATCTAGAATGCTTGTCTTTGTATATTTTTGACAGTCATCTTTCGTGCCGCCCACGATGAGTAGCTTACGCAATATTTCAGTCGAGCAAATTCTAAGCTTATAAAAGAACGCGCTGTTATATGTATATAATATGTACAATTTTTAATATTAAATATATTCGATAAACAGTAAAACAAAATAAAAATATAATTTTAAGGGTATTAAATTAATAAATATTTATATGCACATGTATATACATATAAATTTATCTATATATAATATGTATAAATGTTTAATCACTTAATTAATTTTTATAGATTGAATAGAAATAAGACAAAACAAAGGTCTATCAAATTTTTGAACAATTGCTTTTGCTTAACGTTTCGTCAAAGTATATTTCCAATATTATAATTTTGCCTTAGAATTTAGCGCATGTCATAATAAAATAACATTTTAGCTTCAACATTTTGACAATACAATATTTCACGAAAATAATAAATTACAAGAGAATATTAACCTAGCAAGGTTTATGAAAAATGAAACGCAATAAGAATACGCAACGTGGTGGCCGCGTTATGCTACCATTTTTAATTTCTCATTCCTATCATTTGTTATCTGCTATCAGTCAAAAACTATACTGTAAGTTCATCCTTCATGCGTATTTCTTTATTGTACGTATCTGCAAATTTTTCCTTAACGCATCTTAATAATGAAGTTTTAAAAGTATTTATATTTTATTATATTATCCGAGAAACCTTTTAAATAACGATACGTAACTAACGTTGTAATTTATTCCACGTATAAAATTACCGTAATTATAATGAAGAGAAAAAGTAGAGATACGTCGAGAAACAGCTTTGTCCTTAAAACACATTCTCACCTGTTGCTACTACCTTTAAAGAAGCGCTCGCAAGGACGAGTTAAATGAAGTATGAGTTAATGAGTTAAAAAGAAAGGAGGAGAAAGAATCGCTTATTAAGAATTTTTAATACAACTTATTAGCTGTAACCTCTAAAAATCTTTGATAATTTTTAAAAATAATTATTTTTCTTACTAGATTTTAATAGATATTTGTAACAAATATACTATACCTATCAAATCAATCAGCTCTCTCTTTAAAAAATTTTAGAAAAATAACATGTTGCTGATAGTGACTCTCTCTTTGTATGAAAAAGATCACATACCGATTGAAATATGTAATCAGCTTGTAGAGAATTAAAAAGAGTTGTTATTGAAAAATAATGAAACAGAGGACGAACCGCAATGGAGTCTGGAACCGCAATCTCTTTATACGTCACGCGCATATCATATAGAAAATTAAAGGGAGAAAGGAAAAAGCGTATCAAAGTATGTAGCACAAAATTAAGTAGCTAAAGGAAAGAGCGTATCACAAAGTACCCCAGACATAGATCTGCTATTATTTAAAATAGCTGTTCTATATACAATTGAAAGAAAGCATTTAAAAAAAATACCGTATACCTATATATATGTGAATAGATATGATAACTTTGCGGCATTTAACCAGGCTCTTTTCACGTTTACGCACGTTTACACGCCATTCCATTATATCAATGTACACGCTCGATCGTAATCTATGATGCATTATCACTCGAAGTAAAGTTTTCTCATCTTTCAGTTTGCGACCTAGTAAAGCAAGTGCGACGCGGTAAACAAGTAGTGGAACATAAGTAAAGCTCCAAAGTCGATCGACTCGCAGCAATTAAATCGCGGGGGTGTAAAGAAGATCCCGAATTTTTCACTGAATTACAAAAACTACGATCACGAGGTAAGCGTGTATACCTTGAAACACAGGAAGGAAGATGAGGGCGTATAAAAAGGGGAAGAACAGCTCGTGCAGAAACGCGTCTCGTAAGACGAATTGCTCACCTGTTGCTGTGTCAGACTTTGCCGGCTTTGCAATCCTGCGATTCTGCAGGTGAGAGACGAGGTGCGCGACACACGGGGGGAATGGGGGGACGGGGGGGAGAGAGGAGGGAGAGATATCTTCTTGGACCGTTAAAAGACAGGAAACGTCCGGTCTCCTCTTGCCAGCAGAGGGGGCGAGATGAGAAACTTTCGTTTTTTTTTTACGCGGCGACGAGAGCGGCCCTATGTACGTTCTTCTCACGTGGCTGCAGACTGCGAGGATGCGACGCGGGTCGACTTCCACTCCGTAAAGTCACCGACGACGACGACGACGACGACGACGACGTCCGACGTCCGGGGATACCCGCGAGATATACTCTTCGGTGTCTACGCGCGGGAATGACGGCGGGAGCGTCGCGACGCCGGCCTTTATACGTGTGCGTGTGTGTGTGCGTCGGCGCCCCTGTGCGTGTATGACGGCGGAGGTCCCCGCGTCTTTCTCACCCTCCACCCGGGGAGGGGAGGAGGGGGGGAGGGCCGCGCGCCCACCATCCCTCCTCGCGCGCGCTCCTCTCCCTCTCTATTTTCCGTAGGAGAGAGGGCGGGCGGGGGTGAGGCGTCGCGACGCCTCTCGCGCGCGAAGACAGATTCACGCTGAGACGGTCGGACGACGCGTGACGCGCGGCGACGCGCAGTCCCCCTCCCCACCCGCGTCGCGACGCGTCGCGTCGCCCAATTGCAACGGCGAACCGAATTGTTCGGCGGGGCGGGAGGAACGGTGATGATCGCGGATCGCCGTTTTTTTTGCGATCACCGTTCGCAACGCGTAGGTATATAAAATGAACTTTCGGTTCGCTGACCATTTGGCGTTTAATTTTAATTTCGCGCAGCTGTTTCTCTGCGAACAGAAGCACAAATGCATTTATCCCGACGAGAGTAATTATAAATTATATTCCCCTCTACGGGGCGGGGGGGAGGAGGGACGTAACGGCGAAATATTAATTTTCTCTTATAAAATACTGGAAAGTACGAGGTGACATTATCACGTAAATTCACAATTTAAATAGCATTGTTGCACGAGCTGTTACATACGCGGCGTGACACATCGTGAGATATCTCGATGAGAGGGGAGGACATGTGGCCTATACTATAATAATACGGCTCTACTCGAGTGATTATTATAGAATATCTTCGCGCGAGACATATAAATCGACACGCCTCCGCGCGTTATAAAGCTCCCCCGTCGAACGAAAGATAAATTGCATTCTTATCGGATTACCGCCGCTGCTGCTGCGCTCGCTTCGAGTGCCGCCAGTCCCATTTCGCGGAAATTCACTTTTCTCTCGCTTCCGATTTACAATCTTCCCCCGACTAACAGTCGCAGTCCCTACAATTACGACGTCACTTTGCGTCGACTACCTATATATAATACTCATCTGCGTGCAGGAGAGACACCGCGGGATTCTCTCCGTCGAATGTCGGACGAAAAGTTCCTCCCATAAACGCGCTGGATCGCCGCGCGAGGGAAACAACCCGACGCTAAATCCGCCGCGGGCGATGCGGTTAAGCGTTTATAACGGGTATCCTCCGCCGTTACGCCGCCCGTCAGCCCTTCCCCGCCCCCGCCCCCCGCCTGCATGCGGCGGTGGATTTCCGTGGGATTTCCCGCTAAACCACTCGTAAATGAGCCGCGGCAACTCGCTGTTGCAGCCCGCTCTCGTTCGCGGAGACTCGCCGTCGCGCTGCATCGTCGTAAAACGTCGCGTTTCTCACCCGCTTGAAGGCTGCAAGAGATGTCCCACGGAAAGAAATGGAGGGGGGAGGGGGAAATCCGTGGCCGGAAGACGGAATATTTGCATACCTATTTTACGGTCTGCGACGAGTCCTGCCACTAGACACGGGAAATCGCGAATCTCTTGTTCGACAATACCGCACGGAAAGAACAATTTTGCTGAATCCAGATCTGAAAATGATTTCTGTTCAATAATCAAAATTATTTTGTGCGAAAGTCAATATGATTGCTAGAATATCAAAACGTTTCATAGCAATGCTTATCAGTTTTAAACCTTTAAATCACTATATCGGTTTCTTTGACCGCTATTGAAACTTTACTTGTCAACAATTTTCTTATTTGTCCACCATTTAAATATATTTTATTTCTATTGTATACGAGATTTTTTTGTTAACCCTCACAGTAAAACACATTTTTCTTTTTGCCCGTCAACAAGTATTCAGAAAACATACATTTTTATCATAATTAACTTATAAAATTAGCGGGAGCATAATAGTGGTCTGTCAGATCGACATTATGGTTAGTGTGATTTTTTTGGACGTGGTGGTTTAAAGGTTGACATTCCAACAAGTTATTTTAATGATTCAACAAAAAAATTACTTTGAGATTTGTATTCAGCAAAATTTTTAGACCTTTCAGCAATATCGTTCTTTCCGTGCGCGCGAGTACTTCGGGCGCAAAAATAACGAATGCGATCAAGACGGAGAGAGAGGCTAGTAAAATCGGAAAATTATTAAAATACAGCAAAAGTACAATAAATATTCCTAAATAATAAATACTTAGGTATGCGTAGCGCTAAATAATTCTCGCTATAATTGCAAAATTTTTTTCAGTGTAATGGATTCAGGATCTCAAAATAATTTTTGTTGTACAATCAAAATAATTTTGTCGAAAAGTCAAACTGGGTCGCTAAAATATCAAAATAATTATTTTCAGAACTGTATCCAGCAAAATGTTTAGACCTTCCAGCGCGTTTCGATTTTACTCGCGATAGTACACAGAAAGAACGATTTTGTTGAAAGATTTAAAAATTTTGCTAAATACAGATCTGAAAATAATTTTTGTTTAATAATCAAAATAATTTGTTGAAAAGTTAAAAATGATAGGCATTGTTATAAAACGT